GGCCCTCTGCCCCTGTCCATCCCTGCATCCTTCCTAAGTAACTGTCCCATCATTTGAGTGAGGTGGCACTCAACCTTGTGACTCTTACTGGCTTGTTTCATTTGCTTAGTTTTCTGTGTATTCATCACGAATATTGTCACGGCGAACTTCCAGCCAGTTGTCCAAATCACTCTTGGTATCTTCGTTATATCCGGCTTTCTCCAATCTCATGATCCTGAACAAAGTCTCCCCAGAACCTTCCGGCCATTCTGAACTGGACGTGGGACCCTCTGCAGAGGGCACGGTGGATCTCCCTCCCATCACTTGAGGCTCCTTTCACCAATTCTGAGCTGGGTTTCCGCTTCCTGGATCCACATCTCTCTCTTTCTTGGTTCACACCCTTATTTTGGTGGGGCGCATCCTTCAGTAGCTTTCTGAGAAAGGGTGAGAAGCACATTTCTCAAGACTTCGCACGTGGAAGGATATTTTTGTATTTTGGCTCGACATAGGAGTCTAAGTGAGGAATTCTTTCCCTTCAGAATTGTAAAGGCTCCGTGCCACTGTTTTCTCGCTCCCGGGTTGCTGTTGAGTAGCTGAAAGCCTTCCCCTTCTGTCCCTACCTCCTGGAAGCCTGCAGACTCCTGTGTTCTGGCAAAGTCCTAAAACTCCCCATTGACGTTCCCTGGTGGAAACCTGCTCCACTTCCCCAGCTGAGCCCTGTGGGGGCCTTTCACCCTGACCTTCCCGTCTCTCAGAGTGTTTTCCTCCGTTGCTTTCTCGGCGTGTCCTCTGCACATCTCCATCTTTCCAGAACCCTCTAATTTGCGTGTTGGTGATCCCACCCGTCCTCTAATCTTACCGTTTCTCTCCGGGTTTTGATGACTTATGGTGCGACATGATTTTGAGAGTCGTCCTCAACTTTGTCTCCCAAACCTTCTAATGACATTATTGTTTCTGTGTCCTGTTGTCCCCTCAAAGCTGGGGGTGGAGCTCCGTGGCTGGCACCTGTCTGTCGTGCTCAGGGCTCTGGGTTCCCTCACGAGCAACACACACACACTCACACACACACTCACGCACTCACACACACACACACATATTCACACACACACGCACTCACACTCACACCACATACTCACCACATACAATCACCACATACAGTCACACACACACTCACCACACACAGACTCACGCACTCACACTCACTCATGCACTCACACTCACACACACACATTCACACACACTCACGCACTCATGCACATACTCACGCACTCACGCACTCACACACACACACTCACACTCACACACACATTCACACACACACACACACGCACTCACACTCACACTCACACTCACACACACATACTCACCACACACACACTCATGCACTCACACTCACACACACATACTCACCACACACAC